GTTTGTTCAGTCTACATGTTTTTTTCTTTCTTTTTCTTTTAAAGGCCCTGGTTTGATACTGTCCTCTATATTGACAGGGATTCATTTTAACTTAGATCCTTTGCTGATGAGCATGCTGACTTGTAAAGCATAATAACTGGTGTTTTCATATCACACTGTCATCATTTAGGTGTAAGGGGTGACTAGATTAAGACTGCAGTTTTTAAAGTTTTTGGTAGCTTTGTTCAGCAAATCCTCTAGAAGTTGTGATACTTTGCCAGACACAGTCTTTGATTGTGGTTTAGACTCTGCTTTGATTCACTGGCTGCTTGGGATAATCGTCTCTGTTAGTGCAGAGTGTATCACTGAGTCAGACGAGAGCCCGGCGCGGAGATGGCTCTGTCACTACAATCATCTAGTAAGTCATTCCAAGTTGGGGCTTAGGACTCTGATTTCCTCTCCCAGGCTTGAATGTGTGCTTTTGGCACATGAATCCTTCTTGATTCTTATCTTAGTCTGTAAATAGCATAGAAATTGCACATGGAAAAATGGAACAAATCATACTTTCTTTCAAAGGGCAAATTAAACATTCCATAGAATAAGGAGAGAGTTGTTAGCGAGGGAAAAAAAAATGCAACCTTGCTAGCTCCAGTGTGAAAAAAGAACAGAATAAATTGGACTCAAACGCAACCTTAAAGAACGTTTTGAGCATTTGCACTTTTTTTCTTTAACCACCCTCTTAGCCCTCCTGCCAAATACCAAATCCTAAGTTTTCCAAAGGTTTGAAAATATTCCCATTAATTTTTTTTCTTCATAGCCCTGTATTTACCAGGGCTTGAAATGGAAATACTGAAACCTAGTAATGAAGGGCACTATAGAATTCCCGGTCTGTCGGAGGCCAAGTGCTCCTGGCAAAATGCTCAGGAAGTCCTGTTCCTACCAGGCTACAGTGGAGTTTTCAGTTACAGGCTGTTTTGAAAATTCAGGTAAATTAAGAATAAGCAGTTTACCTAAAATATGAAGCCAGCTATTTCTTTGACTCAATAAATAAATAAATTTGCAGATGAAATTATGAAACTCACTTCCTGAAAGGGGATAGAGGATGAACCTCCTGGGAGAATGACCTGGAATGATAAGATTCTGCCCTGTCTTCTGGAGGAAACATGGGGCATGTCAACTCTTCTTTGGACAGAGTTCAGCAACACACATGGATTGTCACTCATTTGCGGAATTGTGGAATGCAGCATCTCTTATTACCTCCATACTGCCTTCAAGAGGCAGCTGTCACGTGAGCACCTCGAGGATGGGGCCGGGGTCGGGGGAGGAGGGGTGGGATCCTGATTCATTCAGTTATACTTGTTCAAGGGATGACCAGACAAATTCAAACAAGGGCAAGAAGTGAGTAAAAAGTCAGTGAGAACAAGGGCAAGACGTGGCATGAGAGCTACTGGCTCTGGCTCTGAAAAGGCTGCAGACAGGAGGCCTGTCCTGCTCACATTTTCACAGTTGGTGAGTGGCCTGTTAGGACTAGAACCGGATGCTGCTTCCAATACTGCATCTGTTCGCCAACCTTGCCAGCCCAAGGTGTGGCCACTTCCATCATGTCATATCCTGGCCCCTAATTTTAAACTCATCCCCTCTCCTGGTTCAATTTTTCATTTATAACAGTGGCACCACGGAAGTGTCTACTCTGCCCCTTTTCTGTCTCCTGGTGCAGGTGCACATTTCTTTAGCTTCCTCACTCTGTACCTCTAGGCAGAGCATCTTCACCCATCGGTCTTATCTCTCTCTGGGAGGGCCATCCCTATTCCTTTCGTAGAGAGATACCTTCAGCTGGGCTCTCAATCCCATCCTCTTCTAGCCCTCAAGGGTTAGGGCTCTATTCCTTCCCTCGTGATGCTGGGACCGAGCCATTCTCATGATAGGCTGTAACCCTGTGATGTGCCAAGGCTGCTCCAGCCTTCATCCTCTGCCTGGACAGCCCTGCTAGGGCTTCCCTCTTCTTTTGCTTATCTATTGTCATTCATCGACATTTGCTCTTAATAGATTAATATAGTCAATTTTAGGAGTGGTAAAATCTCATTTTAGAAAACATGAGAAAACAGGCCAGGCACGGTGGGTCACGCCTGTAATCCTAGCTCTTTGGGAGGCCAAGGTGGGAGGATCACCTGAGGTCAGGACCTCGAGAGCAGCCTGGCCAACATGGTGAGACCTCCGTCTCTACTAAAAGTACAAAACATGAGCCAGGTATGATGGTGTGTACCTGTGATTCCAGCTACTTGGAAGGCTGAGGCAAGAGAATCACTTGAATCCGGGAGGCGGAGGTTGCAGTGAACTGAGATCATGCCACTATACTCCAGCCTGGGCTACAGAATGAGACTCCCTCTCAAAAAAAAAAAAAAAAAAAGAAAGAAAGAAAAGAAAATACGAGGCAACAAATCATCATGCAATAAAGCAGAAATCACTATAGTTCTATGTGTAACTTTGGCCACTTTACCCCCCACAGGTTTTTAAAAAACAAAAAATCCTATAGAATTTTAAAAATTTTCCTTGATTGATTTTAAAAGTATTTTCTTGGTAGAATATTTAAAATATATAGAAAGGTCCAAAAGAAAAAATTTCCTAGAATTTCACCCTATATTTCAATGTATTTGCTTAGGACTTTCTTTTCCATGCACATCTGAAGGGTGTACTTTTGACATGATTTTTGGGAATACCTGGCTGAGGAATAGTCACAGCTTCTACATGGAAGAGCATGTAAAGGGGTAGTTCAGCAGTAGATCACAGCTGCCCCTGGGTGCCTTAGTGGTCTTTATTGATTAAAAGAAAACAATCCTAAATGGTTTAGGCATTCCTCTAAAGATGCACTAAAACATGACTCAAGTTTTTGGCAATAAAAATATCATAATGCCAAAAATACCCCATTATTTTATTTACAGGTTTCTTGGAAGAAAAAAATGCATTTTTAATGTAATAGTTCTCATAGTGTCTCAATTGTGTGATAAGCTTAGCTGGAACAGGAGGCTGCCATTTATTAGACTGAGAGGCAGCTTCGTTTCCTGGTTAAAGGCAGGGTGCCCCTGTCTTGATGGCTCAGCTCTGCAACTTACTCTCTGTAACTTATCAGCTGGTGATAGCATGAATTCTTATCTTCTCTGTCTTCATAATTCTCTTAGCAAGAAGCTGGGTGAATCAATGCTAACAGCCACTACTAGCCAAATGCCTGACAGCGTTTTCTCCTTTCAGAATCCTCCCAGGCTTCCCCAACCTGCACCCACCCTCCCAGGAGTAAAATTAATTTTTTCATTTTTTGTATTCTCATAGAGTATGTACTCAAGTCTATCACAATATTTATTGAAATGTGTACTCTATTTGTTAAATGTTCATCATCTCTCACTTCCCTCTTGCCAATACTGTAAGCCTGTGAGCTTATTACGTATGGAGACTTAAAAAAAATCTTTCTGTCATCAGAGCCTCGCCCAGGCCTAGTGGGTACTTAATACAAATGCCCGTCAGATACATAAATATTGTACTCTGAAACTGATTTTCAAACCTCAATGTGTAGCCTCCTATTTATTTCTACTACATTTTACCTTTTGGGCCTCAACATCCCAGTGGTGTTTAATTTTACTTGGTTGGAAGATACAACCCAAAAAAATCAAAAGAAGACATAACAACACTGTGCATCAGCAGAACGCATCGATACAACTTACTTGAAGGAGGTGCAGTGGAATTCACAAAAGCAATAATGGCCAAATAACGAGGAATATGTTACTTATTATTACACCGTATTCATGTTTCAGACATGAGCGAACTGAGGCTCAGAAATTGCATGATGAAGGGCAACACAGATTTACTGGCAGAAATAAGACTTCAACATGTTATACAGGGGAGATGATAGCTGTCCTTGAAATGCAGTGGTACGTATGGGATGTTAGCCAAGGCAGCCCTGGTGGAGGAGGTGTCTCTATCTGAGCCCTGTAGGGAATGGACTAGAGAATAGAGATTCCAGGGTAGAGAGCCATAGACACTGAGGACGTCACGGTGCAAGCACCAAAACAGAGTAAGACACGCCAGGGTGACCGGATGTGCGGCAGAGTAGCACACAGTCATTCTGCCCGTGTAACTTGTAATTCCTTTTCCTCCAAAAGGCAGCAACTAGCTCATGTGTCAGGGCAGCTTGTCATTTTACTCACTTTTCCTGCAAAACCTATTGCCTTCTTCGTTTGCCTCCAAATTCAGAGGGACCAGAATACAGTTTGAAGGAATAATAGATATAAAAAACAGTCGAGAAAGAAATAGGGCTGTCCATAGATCCTATGGTCTGATTTTAATAACTCATAATCCCCTTAAAATACTAACTCATAATCCAGTTAATGTGCAGAAACACGAAGCATTACTTAAACTATTTTTAAAAGATCTGGGAAAATATTACACATTAATTATTTACTTTGAAGGTATTTAGCATACTAGATATGATAGAAACTCTTGACTTTTTCAATGAGAGAGAGTATGGGAAGATAAAGGCTTTATTAAGAGTGTAACAATACTCATTATCAGAACAGTGTCAAAGTTAGTATAATAAAAGGAATTTGGAGGAATTGAATATTATAAATGAAAAAACTTTTAAGGCTTGTGTTCGAGAATTGTGCATGCTGTGTGTTTTTGGCATGCTTTAAATTCTTAAGCCAAGTCTGCTGTAAAAATTCTGCAAACTTGTTAAGCCTTTTGCATCCCTAATCAGTTTCTAAGTGTTATCAACTAATAAAATACATTCCATAACAAACATTTGGTAAATATTTAGCATAATTATTGAATTGTACTTACCTCAAGGTTTTATATTCTTTTTCTTCCACTTCTAAAAAAGCATGCTATAGATTTCAGTAGAAGTTGGCAGTCACACAGATGTTGAAGTGTGAATTTTGGATGTTTGCAGGTTGTAAATATGTGGAATTTTGATCGTGAATGGGAATTTAACATTACAACCTTACATGGTTGGAAAGATTCTGCAATAGCAACAATTTCACATTTGCATAAACAGCTTTATTATAGTTGGAGTAATATATAGAAAGAACACAAATTACTCTGACCAGAGTTAAACCTATAAAGCAATCACATTTGAATGAGGATTTTACTTAAAATCATAGACTCATCAACTCCAAAGTGTTTTTATCTTTCACATGAGACAAATTTAGCCTGTTATGAATAAAATCCCTTAATATCTGCATTTTCTGGCTGGCATATGTATACTGCCTCAGTGGAACTTTAAAATAAAATCATACATATGAAAAAATTAAAAAGAGGCAAACAACTAAAGTATTAGACCAAAAAAAATCTAGTTTTTTACATCAAATAGTAAAATAATTGTCAAAAGTGTTTGCTTTAATTGAATTTTAAACCCTAGAATCTTTTTCGGCTCTCGATTTCACTGTAAGAGTGAGAGAGTATAGAAACAACTAGAACCTTTTGAAATCTACCCTTCTCTTACCTTTTGTCGATGTTAGTACCATCTCTGTCACTTTGTTCAGTGGAGGTATAGTTTTGATCATGCAATTTTACAGATATTTTGTTAAAAGATTCAGGAAGTTAGGTATCTACATTCCAAATGCAGCAAATTACAAGGTGTTCTTGATTAATCAGAATGCTTTATGACACATCTTTTCAAGCCTCGGGTTGAAAAAATTTGTATGTACCCATCAAAGGTGTGATATTCAATTGAAGAATTATGCAAGTTAGTTCTGCATTTCAGATAAATGTTGGATTAATTATTTGGCTCCTAGGAAACTTCACTCAGGCATGTCTTAGTTGCATACTGTTTGAAAATAAAAAGCAATTAAACGGAGAAATACAAATATAGTATTGCATGATATTGGTATTTTTATTGTAACTCTAAGTCAGTTTTATATAGCAAAACTCCAGACTTCAGTTGAGGAAGACTTTATAGTTTTTAACTGGTTATTAACTCCATCTCTTAAAAATATTAATTTGTAAATTTGAAGGGAATGAAACAAAATTGTCTAATCATTTGAAAGTTGGTAAGACTATTTAAAAGAAAAGCACTCATATACAGAATGTTATTTCTCTAGTCTCATTCACATTGATGTTAACTTGTCAAGGCTATTCTCATTTCTATATATTTTACCCACTCTTAAAACACTGAATAGAGTTTTGCTGCCTTAAATTCAGAAGCAGAGTGTTAATTCAGGATAGAGAGCAGTAGAAATGTGAAAGTCTTTGTATTTCTCTCCTGACAAATCAATGGCTTGTACAGATACAAGGGAAATAAATGCATTTTACCAGTTAGAGTTCTTTTTTAAAAAAAGGGATGAGGAAAGATGAAGGGAATACTACTAATACTTTTGCAAACATTAGCTGGAGATTGGAGTATATCTCAGCTGATTTTAGTCTTTAAATTTGAAAACTAAATGAAAGCTGCAATTTAATAATAATAGGTAGCATTTATGGAAAGGTTTCTGTAGGTTCGCACTTCTTTCCACCTATAATCTCATCAGATTTTTATGCACAACCCTATGAAGAAGGAACAAATATTACCCCCATTTTACAGGTTGGTTAACCTGGGAAGAGATAAGTTATGGAAGCTGTCAATGGTTATACTGCAAGCATTTTGATCCCAGGCAGGCTGCCTCTAGATTACACACTCCATTTGCTTGCCCTTCTGTAGCTGAAATCTGTATGACTGCATCTTGTTTTCAGCCCCAAGCAAAGGGCATGACAAGTAATTTTGAACATCGTTCATTTCTTGTAGATGATCTGAAAAGAAAGATAAGGGAAAAGAAAGAATTTAACATCACGTGGGATTCCAGTATCCAGTGACAATGATGGTGCACCTTTTGCAGTGTGTATTTCAAGGTTTTCAATACTTAGGGACATACCTACACATTTGCGTATGTTTGTCGACCCCTTAGCTTTTCTCAGGAGAATAACACTCATTGACCAATCAATCAATCAAACCTTGTTGCTTCTCACTCTGGAGTGTACTACATAAAGAAGCCCAGATAAGAAGCAAATCAAGGGTGCAAATGTCTGCACGTGAGTGTGTGTGCGTGCGTGTGTGTGTGTGTGCGTGCGTGTGTGTTTCGCCCAACTGTTGCTTGGTACCCTAGAGTGTACTACATAGAATTGCCCTGATAAGAAGCAGCTCAATAGCAAACCAAAGTCTGCAAATGTCTGCCTTTGTGTGTGTGTGTGTGTGTGTGTGTGTGGTGTGTGTGTCCAAATTGTTGCTGATCTTCTTTGTCCACACTAATGTAATATTCGAGACACTTCTTTCTCCACGAGCTGTTACAGGGCAGTCTCATGACTCCATTTTATTAATGGTTGCTTTAGGGGTTGACTGCTTAGATCCTGGAGATATTCTCAAGGGCTTTCCAAATAAATTTTTGGATGCCAAGTAACACACATTTAACCCAGATGATCTTAAATATACTTTCCAAAATTTGTTCTGACCCCTGCCTGCTCCTGCCTCTTTCTCTTACTATGGCGCTTCTTAGGACTTCTCACCACTGATTTCCAGTTAGCTGCCTTCCAGCTACGTTGTGGGATTGCCTTTTCTGGCCTTCCTGAGATTGGGTGACTGATTCTAGGCAACGAGGTGCAACATTCAATCACTGGTACAAGACACTCTAGAGGACTGTGGCTCCCACAAATTTGAGTCAGGTGTGTAATTTTAAAGTTTCTAGTAGCACATTAAAAATGTTAAAGAAACAGGTGAGATTCATTTTAATAATATATCTTCTTTAACGTAAGATATTTAAAATATAATTTCAACATGAAATTCATATAAAATTATCGAGATATTTTATATTCTTTTTTAATTACTATTTTTATTTGGACAAAGTCTTTGCAATCAGGTATATATTTAGCACTTATAGCAATATCAATTCACCCAAGCCCCATTTCAAGTACTCAGTAGCAACACGGAGCAAGTGGCTACTAAGTTGGAGAGGCCAGCTCTGGAGTGCTCTTTGATTCTGCTGCAGTGTAGCCAAGTTTGAGGTGGTGGCTTCAGAACTCCCTACTGCCAAGAAGGACCTGGGACACGATGAGCTCTAAACATTGGTTGTTATAAGTCTTTAAAAAAGTTTTGTGTTTTTGTTATATTACAGCGTACTCTACCCTATCCTGCCTGATCTTTCTTTCTTTCTTCAAAATTGGACCACGCACTGTCTAATGTTTCTCACCTGTTTTTGCATCTAACACTTTTAAAATATCCTTCTATTTGTTATACATTCCTCTCCATCACAGCATCTTTTCTATCAGCTACATAACATTGCATGGTATGCGAATGTCATAGTGGATTTAACCAATTGCTCCACTGTTGCACACTTAGAAATTGTTCCCATTTACTCAGTTTCATGATGCTGTAATATTTCTCTTTATAGTTAAGTCGTAGGGTACAATAATAATTATGATAATTTTTTTTTTTACCAAAAATTCCAAGAAATCAAGTGGTTGGGATAAAGGCACAGCACTTTCTATAGTGTATGATAGTTATTACTGGTTGTTTCTTGAGAAAGTATCAATGTATTCATTTACCACCTGATGTATGGCACAGAGTATTCGTATGTCTATTATTTAAATTAAATACTTTTTCGTATGTGAGTTAGACAATCGTATTTATTATTTTGCTAATTGCTTGTTCATTCCAACTGTCTTTTCTTACTGACTTGTTTGCCTTTCTTATTGATTTGTAATAATTCTGCCTGTGTGTATGCTATTAAACTTTTGCTGTCATAAGTATGTGCTCTTCATTTGTCATTTTTTCATTTTTGAGATTTAATTAAAAAGAATACACGACTGTATACGACTTGGAACATGCTTTTAGATATAACTTGTTTTTAAAAATGAAAATTTTGATTCTTCAGAAGTAAATGTGGATGCAAAAGCATTGGTGATTGCATGTCAAATATTCAATTTTATTTAAAAATACAGTACAAATAAAGACTACTCCGCTTAGGTCCAAACTAAAGCATTACTGAACATTTTTAGTTAATCATTACATGTTCTTTCATCTTCTTAGAAAGCTACCTGTGAAATCGTCCTGCATTACAGAACAGGATATGCATTATACATCCTAAATGATACATCCTATATTTTTTCATATGAAATACCTTCTCTAAGTTGTGCATTTGCTTTCCACACGGAAAACGTGTAACACCCAATCAATATTTCTAGAAGAATTTTAGACTAACTCAAACTAAGTATGTGTTATGGTTTGTTACACCAACATTACTTCTGATGATAATTTAAATTAAAAAATGAGAGTTAATTCTCCTTTTCCACTTGGCCATTTTGGTCCAGTGACTCATGAATTCTTTCTAAAAGATTCCCTTGGTTGTAATTTGCTTGGTGGTCCCTGATTCTTGTTATCATTCTATGCTTGCAACAACTGCCTGTTGTTTCTGGGAAAGTGTATTGTGAACTACAAGCTTGTGCTAGTTCTTACCACTTGTATGTCATTCTTAACACACACAAGATGATTTGCATTCATTTGTAATCATTGTTCTTTGCAAAATACTGGTAAGAGAGTTATTATAATAACCACCATTTGGCCCATGGGGAAACTGAGACCCAGAAAGGTTAAGTGACTTACCCAAAGGCATACAGTGAATTGATAGCAGAGCTGGAATTGCAGGCGAGCACTCTTGGAGGTTGCCTATTGTTCAGCAAATTCAGCAACAAGGCCTCTTGGCGCTGTGTTCTTTCTTCCAAGCATCACATTTTCTTATTCCTTCACTCCACAATTCTTTAAGAACACGTGACGTGCTCATAATACAAGGTTAGAATAATAGTATCTTTTCTTCTATTTTTTCCTTCTCTTGCTTAAACGTATTAATCCAACAACTTGGAAATAGGTCGGTAACAGAGAAATCATTCACGCTTTTTACATGGAAAACAATTGAATGGCATCATTGAAGAATCCAAAAATGTATCTTGTCTTTTCCCTTAGGGGATGGGAAATGCACTCAAGTGAAAAGGAAAACTATGTACTTTTGTACACTCACTTATGTTTACATAATAGGTGGTGAAGAAGAAATATTAATAGTATCACAAATAACCGCTGTGATTTCAAAGTCTTTGTAATTGTTCAGAGTGACTAAACAGTGTCAGTCTGTAGGGATATTAATTCCAAGTGATCCTTCGAATTTATTTTGGCAGTACAATTTTTTTAACCACTCCAGGTATTATAAAACTGTTAAATAGTATGAAATTATATTAATTAAACTGTTGAAATAACAGGTTATTAGTGGAAAAGGATTTTCCTGCTTTAAATAATCAAAGAACAGAATGAATTATCCTTTGCAATATTTTCTTAAAGTACAGACTAGTATTGTTTTCAAGATAAGATTTTGGGGGCAGTTTGGGAATTTTGCATGTTTGTATGTTTCTATATTGGTTTGTGGATGTCAAAATCAATACTGTATTCAGAAAGAATAATATACTATGACCTAGAAATTCCTATCTCCTCCTTCTCCCATGCGTCCATTTTCCATTTTAATAAAATTTTTGTTTGTCTATTTAGAATACTGTTTGTATCTAGTTTCCCTACATTTTAAAATATACTTTTAGCTTTTCTTTTATGTAAATTATTAAAAAATGTGACTTTAATAGGGATCTTTGGAAAGAATATGAAATATATGAACAGAATTATTGTTCAACTTAATTTAGGGCCTGAATTTAGAACATATACCATGTTCTTTTTGCCTCCAAATGGTTTGTTAGTAACCCCCTGCTCCAAGAAGTTATCTTATCCACCCTCAGGAAGCAAGTCACGTGTATTAAAACGCAATCAGATTAAGAGAGAAGCCTAATCCGACTTACCTTAGAAGTAAGTTTTCTTTCTCCAGCTTTCAGGAATAACACTTCAATACGTATTTATCTAATTTTTTGGTTTTGTATAAAGAGTATTTAGTCACATTGCTTCCTGGAGAGGCTACTCATATCTGCATTTTCTTTCTCCTTATTCCACGGTGTGCTTCCTACCTCAGGAAAATTGGAGATAAGAAGAACTCACCCTCTTTTAGGCAACTGTAAACTTCAGATTTCAGAGAATAATAAAAAAGGAAAATCAATCAAACAAACAAAATATCCTTCAGATTACTCCTAAGCAAGTGGCTCATGCCTTTTATATGAAAGTATAACCGTTCTCTCTCCCATCATCTCCTCTCTGCCTCTCTAGCCACCCCTTTGGATTATTTACAGTTCCCCCTTCTCTACCCACCCCACCAGTTTTGTTTGTTTGTTTGTTTTTTGTGGCTACCTCCTCTCTACACAACAAAGGAGGAAGCCTAAAAGACGTTGTCACTTGGGGGCAGGGGTGTTCCACCATCTCTGGGAGGGTGGGGGGAATCAGTTTGAACAAGTAACATTACTGGCCTGTGTATTCTCTGCTTACTCCCTGTCACTGAGGGTGGGGACCAGCCAACCACCTTAACTCTTGTACCTTGTACCTTGGAACTGTGGAAATCAAACTGTCCATCCACAGTGGGGTGGGGGAGACCAGGAAGGCAGGCTTTACAAACACTGGCTTTCTCTCTCTCTTCTCTTTTCTTTCTTTCTTTCTTTTTTTTTTTTTTTTTTTTGAGACAGAGTCTCACTCCGTCACCAGGTGCCAGGCTGGAGTGCAGTGGCGTGACCTCAGCTCACTGCAACCTCCACCTCCCGGGTTCAAGCAATTCTCCTGCCTCAGCCTCCAGAGTAGCTAGGACTACAGGCACACGCCACCATCCCCGGCTATTTGAAACAGGGTTTCACCATGCTGACCAGGCTGGTCTTGAACCCCTGACCTCGTCATCCACCCACCATGGCCTCCCAAAGTGCTGGGATTACAGGCATGAGCCACCGCGCCCAGCTCCTCTCATTTTTAACAGCAAAACTTGGGCCTTGTGCAAGTCCTTGTGTGATGTGATTTGGAAATCTTAAAGAGGATAAGGGATTCCGGGAGGCCCTCAAATGCTCAGCAACCAGCAGAGTGTGTTTTTGCTTAGGGTAGTAGTAAATTACCCACACCCTCATCCCATGTCCTGTGTTCAGCTCTTTGTCCTCTACATGATCATACTCTGACCTCCAAAATAATTAAGACAAAGAGAAATTCCTTCAACCTCAGCACGTGCAAACACAATTTCAGAGGGAAATAGTTACCGTGTCTAGCAACTAACTCTTTGGGCTGATTTAATTGAAATTTATGCGTTTGGGGAGAACATGACTGGCTGAAGACTTTGGCAGCCCCAAGCCTGCAATAGACAGAAACTCCTGAATCGCCCTCTGAAAACCAGGTATCTGGCTACATTTATTGATGTTATTTTGGCTAATTTTCTTTAACATACATTTTTTTTTTCTAGTTAAAACTTCATTGAAAACCTCATGTAAGAGTCCCTCTCTCTCCAGCCCCCCTTCTCCCTCTATTTCCCTGTCTGTTCCCTGGAGAAAAAAAAAAAAGAGCATATTGACGCTAAATAAAAACCAGAAAGAGCAACCTTATGTCATTTATTTCTCTGAAATTGAAAAAAAAAATCATTTTTTCCCTTAGAAAACTGTTCTGATTTAAAATGAAAACACTTCAAAAGGTATTTTGCATTATATGTATGTCTTCCGTGAGAAACAACACCCACATCTAGTGACTTTCTCATCTTGTCCCCGTCTGACAAGATCTGTACTAAAATATATTAAAAAAGAAAAAAAGATAAAGAAGAAAGAAAAAGGGGGAGGAAAAGCTGACTGAGAGCAGCCGCAATCTCTCCCTCAGCCGGGGGCCTTTCCTTTCTCTTCGGGGCAAGGGTGGGGACCTCGGCCTGGGCTTCCTGAGGCTCCAGCTCTGAGCCCCCGCCACCTTCTGACTCTGGGGCCCCCTGGGTTCCCCGACTTCAGCTCCCACCCCATTCATTCCGCTCGACCTGGGAGCCGGGCGGAATTCCCTCCTGGAATTCACCCCGGGACCCTGCTATTGTCCCTGTCGTCTGACCTCTGCTACGCTAAGTTCCAACAAGGTGATCTGGAAAAGGCGCCACTCGCTCCCTGGCGGGCTCCCCGACTCGCCTTTTCGCGCCCTCGGCGGCGGCTCTTTTCTCCAGGGGGGACCACCAAGCGCTCTGCTTTGCACGGCCAATTTATGGCTCTGTCAGGGGCTCGGGCGCCGCGCCCATTGTGCGGGGCGCGGCGCCTGACCCCGCCGCCAGCGCCGTGTAGCCCGATTGTTCCCTCATTAGGGCGGCCGGGAGAGGCGGAAAGGCTCGCTGCCCTTTCCCACAATCGCTGATAATGTGCGGCCGCAGGCTTGTCACAGGCGCGGGCGAGGAGAAATGGAGAGGATGTGCCACCGAGTGGGGCGCAAGGGACATGGCATTCCCACGCGAGGAAGGGGGAGAAACAACTACGCAAATCCCCAAACCCAAACTCCAGACCCTCCGTAGCCTGGAGTAGTTTTTTCTGGCGTTTTGGTGGCGGCTGTCAAGGCCCATAGGAAATATGCTGGGGGAAGACTCCACAGCGCCCTACAAAGAACTAAATCAACGCTAGAGCCCACGAGTTCGAGGCTGCAGTGAGCTGGGATCGCGCCACTGCACTCAGGCCTGGGATACATTTTTAAGACCCTGTCTCAAAAATAAACAACAACAGCAATAACAAAAACCAAACCAACACAGACACAAACACCCCTAAATCAAGAGTTGCAAAGATCCAGCAGCCAGCGAACTTGGGCAGAGGAGAGCTCTGGGCACAGGGGCAAGAAGTGCCCGGATGCGAGCGGGGCTGAGCGGTGCCCTGCCGGGAGGAGCCGGCTCTGCGGCCGCTTGGAGAGGACGGAAGCGGGCGGGGCTGTGAAGCTGGCCTAGGGCGATCAGCACTTGCACAGGCAGCCTTCAGGAGCAGGAGCCATCCGCAGTGTAGCAATCTCCCAGCCTGGCTTCTAGAAGGAGCCAGTTGATCTTTTTCCCTTTCGTGTTGTTTGCCCCAGTGTGCCTGTTGCTGCCGTTCTCAGTGAAAATGCCTCCCAGAGAGGTGAGGGAGCCTGAACACCACACTTCCAAGCCCTCACTTTTCTTTCTGGTCAGCAAAGTGAGGACACTGCCCAGACAGCGCTTCTCTCTCCCCCTCCTCCTCTGGCCTGTTGCGTTGAAAGGGCCTTCTCTAAAACTGCAAATAAAGAGCACAGCTTCAGAGAAACCGGGCAAAGGCTCAAGGAGAAGGCACAAAAAGGACCATCGCTGTCCTGGCGCTTAGATGTATACAAAAAGCGACGCCCAGATTCTTAGGTCTGTGAAATGCTATTTGAGTTGAGACACAATACCTGCCTACAGGGCATGCATAGAAAGTGATTTTAGGTGGCAATAACTAGGGTAATTCTCTTTATTTTATAAACATCATTAGCTCCTCTTATGAGATGATGCAAAAATATTCAACGTTTCTTTTGCACTTTCTCAAAAAAGGGAATTCTGGGGCTAAGGCCTTAAGCAACTACATTTATTAGCAGGTGATTCAAAATTGCACGCCCAAAGAGAAACTTCAAGAAGTTTCAGGGATACTATGCACAGACTTCTAACTTTAAAACTCTTCTCAAAACAGTGCTTTTGAATTGAAAATGTGTTTATTCTCTTAACAGAATATAAAGCTAGAATTGAATAGAAAAGAAAGCTTATATTCCAATATATGATTTGTATAAAATATGTTGAAAGATAACAATTATCTATATTTCAACTACATTTGAAAAATTCTAAGTACTCCAGAATTTTAAAATTGTTCTTAAAATGAACTAAAGATATTTTCATAGTAGAAAAATGATGTGAATTAAGCTTTTTTTAAAAAAAGCCCAA